ATTTGATGCGTGTATCGAGGTGCCGGTTTGCGAGTATTGGGTGCAGCTTCCCTGCTCGTGCTTTGCCCTTTTCCGCTACCTTGGACATGTGTGCATTCCACGAGCAGTCTTTTGCGATCTCTACTCCGAGGTATGTGTACTGGTCCACTACTGCAATCTCCTCGATCCCCCACTTCCATCTATGTTCTACTGGTTCCTCCTTGTTCTCGTTGCAAACCATGACGGCACTCTTCTGAACGTTGGCAGACAATCTCCACTTATCAGTGAACTTCTTCGCCGCGTCAATTTGCAGTTGCAGTCCCTCAGGGGTGTCCGACATACCGACAAAATCAACACCGGGGGGGGGAGGAAGAAACGAACCAGCTATCCTACCTACCTCCTTCACGATTCCCTGGGAGAGAACAAACCTCACGATTTGAACCTCTGTACTCACTCACCACTGCTCGCTCCTTTTGCGAGAACTGCATGAATGCAGACGATGCGCCCTTGGGCTTGTTGGGGTCCTTCTTCGCCTTCTTCTTCCTCTTCACGGGGCCTCCATTGGAGGCTGCCTTGGCCGACTGTTGCATTCAAAGCGCGGCCAAGAACGCACCCAGATGGGTGAACAAGATACGTGTGTAACGCGGAGGAAAGGGGCGAAGAGGTTGTGAGCGGTTGGCCAGAAGGCATGCATCAACTGCTACGCTACTGTCGTGACCGCAGCACATGTAAACAATAGAGATACCCGGAAGGGGGTCGTACTACAAATTAAAATCGGATGTCGCCAGAATGCCAACAATAAACCTCTCTACAACGCAACAAACCCTTTAAGTTACAAGCACGTCAAAGCTTCCACGCAAGCCCTCGCCCGAACCTAAGAAGACACGTTGAAAAAAAGGGGGAATGAGTGTTTGGGTGTGTGTATTTTTGTTGCCATCGACCACGCTACCTGGCTGACCAATGAATAGACGTTAGTCTCTCGCTTCAAACTATTACTCCCCTTCTAAAAGCGCATCTACAGAGTAACGCCATATTCCGGGTCTCGGGAACCCCTGTGTCTGGGGGCCATGGGGAGGCCAAGTGTGTGTCTGCGTGACGCCGACCACGCCAACCTGCTGATCAATAAAAAAGAGGTCAGCCGTAAAGGCGTAGCGGGGCAACATACGCTGGCTGGTACAGAGGGGGTCCCTGTTTACCGTATACGACACAAGATAACACATCCCCTAGACCAGTTTTCAAAGGTCCATTACGCCACGAGAAAGAGGATGCTTGAACGAAACGATGCGTTTTCTGAGAGATCTCTCTCGACCAGGCGGCTTCAACGCCGCCGTTTACAGCGCTGCGATTCGTTCTTCTGTTGATAAATCGAGCTTTGAAAATTGGTCCAGGGGGTGTGTTATCTTGTGTCGAATACGGTAGTGTCGATGTCTGCCCAGAAATTCACCGGCAATATACCGGGAATTGGCATTATTCAACTGGCACAAAACAGGGCCCCCCACTGCTGTCGGGTACTCGAAGTATTATGTTGAGAAGTAACCAGAAACGGGTATACCCGGATATATTATCACTATTTCAGGGTACACTTGGAAATCAAGACGACACCAATCTCCGACAGCATCCGCCGTAGATCGCGGCGAAACCAATAAACCGCTGTCTGTGTCCCGTGTCCTGTGCCTTGGAAGCATATGCACGAGGCAGGTCGTGCCCGTTTTTTTCTCTCTCTCTGTGCTTTTACTGATCAGTACCACACCGAAGTACTCGCGCGTCAAGCGAGTCCGGCCCTCTGTTGAGAAGGGCGGGTATCCTATGGAGGCGGTGCCCATGAACGATGAACGAGCGAGCGTTGTTGGTTTGGTTGTGGCTATGTATGTGCGGTACACGGTATGTGCGGTACACGATTTTTTCTGCGCGTTTTATGGTAGAGCGTCGGGCGCCGGAATTATATGACCATTTCTGGGTACAAAATTGACTTCTTCCGGGTACACCAGTAATGTATGACACAAGATAACACACCCCCTTGTCCAATTTTCGAAGCTCGATTTCTCAACTGCAGGAACAGTCACAGCGCCGAAAACGGCGGCGTTGAAACCGTCTCGTCGAGAGCTTTTCGAAAATGTATCGTTTCGTTTATGCATCCTCCTCATGGTGGAGAAATCGAGCTTTGGAAATCGGTCCAGGGGGGGTGTTATCTTATGTCATATACGGTAACCAACATCGGTCACGCCGGAGGGTCCTAATTCCAGCGGAAGTTGTACCCGATGGAGGTTTCTTCAGAAATGGGTACAACGGTTTTTCGGCCAATCAGCTGACAGCCTGGGGGTGCAAGCGTGTTGATTTNAGGGCGGGTATCCTATGGAGGCGGTGCCCATGAACGATGAACGAGCGAGCGTTGTTGGTTTGGTTGTGGCTATGTATGTGCGGTACACGGTATGTGCGGTACACGATTTTTTCTGCGCGTTTTATGGTAGAGCGTCGGGCGCCGGAATTATATGACCATTTCTGGGTACAAAATTGACTTCTTCCGGGTACACCAGTAATGTATGACACAAGATAACACACCCCCTTGTCCAATTTTCGAAGCTCGATTTCTCAACTGCAGGAACAGTCACAGCGCCGAAAACGGCGGCGTTGAAACCGTCTCGTCGAGAGCTTTTCGAAAATGTATCGTTTCGTTTATGCATCCTCCTCATGGTGGAGAAATCGAGCTTTGGAAATCGGTCCAGGGGGGGTGTTATCTTATGTCATATACGGTAACCAACATCGGTCACGCCGGAGGGTCCTAATTCCAGCGGAAGTTGTACCCGATGGAGGTTTCTTCAGAAATGGGTACAACGGTTTTTCGGCCAATCAGCTGACAGCCTGGGGGTGCAAGCGTGTTGATTTCTTACTATACCCTAAAGTGATGAGAAAGACCCGGGTATACCCATTTCTGGTTATTGGTTTATCATCATCTGCTACGGAAAAGTCTGCGGCTCCCCTGACACATGGCCTGTGGGCCCGTGGCAGAGCCGGAGAGAACGGCCCAGAGGGTTTAGACTACTGTTACGCAGGAGAAACCCGCACAACAACATCACTTCGAACGTGTACCCCCATGGTACCTACTACAATTGTGTGTGGGGGGGGTGTGGGGGGGGGTCGGAGAGATTGCGGCGCCCACGTTTGGTAGATCATGGAACAACCGCGCACACCACAGAGCAGTAGTTTTGGCTGTTTGGGTGGGTTGTGTGCATTTGAATTCCACGCAACAGGGTTTGGTACAGAAGCAACACGTGTTGACTGACACCGCATCACTCAAGATCCCACACGCCTCGAAACGAACATCTCTCCCTGACTTGGTAGGTTCGCTTTTGAACGAGTGAGGGGTGAGGGCGGCGAGAGACCGAGACACGGAAGATGAAGGGAGATGAACGAGAAGATGAAACGATGACCGCCAGGGAAAAAAATGAAAAAATCAGTAACGGCTCTTTTTCCACCCACCTTCTTGCTCACAGCAGGCTGATGCACCAGCGGCGATGCCGATACCGCGCGAGTGAAAAGAAGTCGAACAAGAATGCAGTCGGATCCGGGGGCGAGCGCGAAGTCATACCGAAGTCGTGAGAGAAGTTTGGTATTGATTGATTTATTGATCGATGGTTTGTTCTCTGAGCAACTCAAGAAGACCCGAAATTTCGCTCTCGTCCAAGCCATGGATGAGTGCAGATCGAGCTCCCTAGCCTTGTCTTGGCAGCCAAGATGGTGGCGGGAGCACGGGCAAAAATCATCCCGACGAGGACCAGATTTTTGGGCGCAGTGGGCGCAGGTGTTGCTCGCGCAAGCAAGCAGCGGAGCAGGATCAGTGCATCAAAACGCGCTTCGGAAACACACGACAACCGCGCCAAAGAGCGCCATCTTGCGCAGGTCATGAATCCAGAGAACGTAGTACCAACCGACCTCTCCTTGGCTCTCACCTTAGCCATTTTTGCTGCGTATGCCAACAATCGGTGGATTACGCTTGCGTTGGAGCTTGACAGCTGCAAGAGGCCCGAGCGTGCGAAGTGCGACCGAGCGTGGCGAAGGAAGAACGATCGACGTGCGATGGAACCAAGCGTGCGTGGGCATCGCGACCAGACTGCGGCCCCCCTGCCTCCCCTCTGCCATGCAAAACGAAACATGGCATGTTTGTATGCGGAAAGTTTATTTGCCCGAACATCAGGCGAGAGGCGATCTTCATGCATGTGTGGTCGCTGTACGCTATCTACCATCTAGAGGAGCAAGACATGTCCCCGATAAGCAATCGTGAGGAGTTAGGGGACTTGAATCATACTCCCGGCCGCGGGCACAAAAAGCGAAGAAATAAAACACTACCAACGTGGTTGTTAGATCTTCTCCCGGCTGTGCTCAAGTAGACTTCTACTGAAGACTTGTTTGTATACCTCTGACATCCGTACCCGTGGCAGGTCCAACTGACGCGGGCGCCTTCCGCGGTCATGTTTGTATGCGGAAAGTTGAAGTTTAATTGCCAACAGCAGGCAAGAAGCGATCGTTATCTGTGGTAGCTGTATGCTAAATACGATCAACAAGAGCAAGGAAAGTTTCGCCATGAGAAATCGTGTATTAGCGGGAACAAAAAAACTCTGTGAAGAAATAAAATGCAGAACAAAACGTGTTGTGTGGTGTCTGTTGTTAGACCCTCTCCCGGCTCTGCTCATTGCCTCTGACATCCGTACCCGTGGCCCAACTGACGCGGACGCCTTCCGCGATCGCAGGGCAACCCCCACAGGGTGAACGAGTGGACAAATATGCTGAAGACTTCGTCGGGGCCACTTCTTCCATGTGGAAAAGCTCAGTGCTACCACTGAGAGTTGTTGCCGTTGATACAAAAAATCCAAGACCTGCGTGGCGGGGGACCAACCGAGACGCCGTTGTGGCGCCTTGCTAAACTTTCATTGCGCCAAGTCACACCGAACGCAGCACTTCCCCTTCCTCTGCAACCGGGTGTTCCTGAATCCTAATATGCGGATGTGCCTTACACGATTGTAGCCCAAGCATGCGACCGAAGACAAAACGAAGTGAAAGATTCGCGGATACACCATTGCACGCCCCCTCAGTGTCCCAACTAGAAAGCCATGCTATATTGCCCTATCGAACCTAAGCACACATGTACTAGGTTCGTGTTTCCGCAGAAATTTACTTGTGTCCCCGCCTGCGTTGCTGGCGTCCCTTCTTGGCACCGCGAACCGTGCCCACGACCGCGCCATACTGTTTCAGCGCGGTGTCCCCGGCCTTCTTTCCGGTGAGCGTTCGGCCGTCCAACGGAATATATGCGTAAGGTTCCAGAGTTGCCCCCTTTCTCTTGACGTCGCCACCAGCTTTCTTGGATCGGAACTCCGCCCCTGTTGCGGTACCTCTGACCGCTCCGACCTTCTGCCGTTTGCCGGCAGCACCTCCCCCGCGGCCGGCACCTGATCCGCGAACTCCGGGCACTGACCGTCCCATCGCGCCCTGTGAAGAGCTATCGTCCGCCGCCGCTCGTGATTTTCGTCCCGCCATGTGCACAAATCCGGAATCGTTCTTTCCAGTGTCGACAACACGATCGTTGTCGTCATCGTCATCGCTGTCGTCACCATTGTTCCTCGAGCGCTTCTTCTTCCGACCCCCGCCGCCGCCATCGTCGTCACTTTCGTCCTCATCGCTGCCCCCGGGAATGACAAACTTCCCGTCTCGTAATCCTAGTTCCGGGCCGTCGTCGTCGTCGTCAGAATCTTCCGAGCCACTTTCATCGGAGCCAAATAAGCCGCCACCGCCGCCGCCACCCTTCTTGTTACCGCCACGCTTTGTGCTCGACACGCGCATGTTTCGGACCATGGACGCGTCGAGCAAGTCTACGACGCTCGTGCCGTCCTCTCCCCTCTCTCGCACCATCATGTCGGCTCCCTTGGCTCCGCCGCGCCTTGCACCACCCGTGGCAGGCATGCTTTTGACCGTGCTGGTCATGTTTGGGCCTTGGTCCTCGGTGTCCGAGTTGTCCGCATCCGAGCCTATCAAGAAAACAACCAATCACCCGACATTGCACAAGAAGGAAAGACACACGATATGTCATGTCAGGGGTCACATTTAAAAGCTCGTCCAAATATTCATGTAGTAGGGATGAAATCCACAATTGGTGTCAATTGCCGTGCTAGCATACATGTTGTACAGCAACGCGAACACCAGCCTGTACAACATGAAATGCAGCGATAAAGTGTCCCAGAAAGTAGAAAACGATTCGTCGTGCTGAATAAACAAAAAAAAAGTCAAGACTCCTTCTCGTACCCTCCATGATGGTGTCGAACATCCGCACAGCCTTCGTAATTTTTCCCTCCCCCGGGTTGGCACCGCCGCCCCTTCCACCGCCGCGCCCACCGGCTAGGCGCGTTTTCTTAGCCTTCAGCTCTCTTTCAGCGGCCGTCTGCATGTGAGCCACGAGTTTCTTGTCCTGCTCTGGCATGAGGGCCTTGATTTCCTCAAACCCAAACTTGCGGCACAGCTTCGACAACACGATCCGAATCTTGGCTCGGAAGTGATCCTGCAAGGCGAGAGGCAAGCGTTCGTTGTATTGAAGAGCGACCGACGACGTCAGAAAACCGTTCGACGAAACAGGGAAATTCTAATCTACACTTGCTGCAACTGCTCTACTGCTGTGCTGACCGCTGCCCGTTCGTTCGCCTCGCTGATGCATTACACAAAAAGGGGACTAAATTCCACTGATGCAAACCAACCACTGTCACTCCTACCTTACTATCCTATGTATCCCCCTCCACTTCAACGCGTTTCACCTACACTCATCACACACGATGAACAACATAGCGTTGTAGATTTCAAAGTGAGCGGGAAACAGCTGTTCATATCTCCAACTTTTGAACTTCGAAAATTTTTAAAAAATTTCAGAGGTGTACAGCAGTATTATTAGGCAGTTTCTTACGCTGTGATTTTTTGGGGTGTTGGATTTGGGGGGGGGGGGGGGGGGG